TCAGAAATAAATTTGTTTTTAAAAATAAAATGTATACTTTACGCAAAGTATAAGAAACATTACCTGTTGCCTCCACCATGCCTTCTAGAATTACAACAATTTCTAGTTCCTCTTTGGGCAATTGGTCTTTGGAAATCTCCCAGAAAGGACTCTGCTGGTTAATTTCATGGCTGATGATCAGCGGTGAAACCAAAAAGAGGCGATCATCCCCTGTATAATAACCTACGTTGATATCTGTCTGGTTGAGTGGTATAAATTCCCCCTCCTTTGTCTGTTTAGATTTGATCAACTTGGCTCGTATTGATGCCTCCACAATATGTGAATTCCTAAGGTCCCCTACTCGGAACATCAGACATAGCTTCCCATCCCGCATGGAAATGACTGCGTTGGTAGAAAAGACCAAGGTTTCTGCCCTCTTCTTGGGCTGAGATATTTTCACAAACATGCAGCCAACCATGAAAGCATTGACAATAGAACCTAAGACAGACTGAACTAAAAGCAGAATAATTCCCTCGGGACATTTGTCCGTGATGACCCGATAACCATACCCGATGGTGGTTTCTGTCTCTATTGAGAATAAAAAGGCTGAAACAAACCCATTGAGGTTACTGACACATGGGGTCCATGTATTGTCTCCTATATGTTCCATATCGCCTCGGATGTAAGCAATTAGCCACCAGATCATTCCAAAGAAGAGCCACGTCACAGTGTAAACCATGACAAAAATCAAAAGGTTGAACCTCCATTTGAGGTCGACTAAAGTAGTGAAGATATCACTCAGATAACGATAAGTCTCTCTCACGTTCCCATGGTGGACGTTGCATTTCCCATCTTTCCTAACATACCTTTGGATTTTTCTCTTGGTACATACTTTGCTTATGTGCTTTGGAAGATCCTCTCTAGCTTGTTTGGGCAACTTTGGCTGCTGAATTGTGATAGGGCTCTCCACGTCCTGCTCCATTGAGTCTTCTTCCAGTACGTTAGCTGCCATTAAAAGAAAGGCATTAATATGTATGTGTATCCAGTGAATTGAATAAACACACAACTTTCTTCTGTATTAGTATGAAGCAAGTATAAATAAATTCATTAACATATAGAAATAACTTTGAAAGGGAACTTATTTTTTATGTAATGGGCTTCCTATCTATCATTTCAGAGGTTTGGTTTTGTCTGCACCAGTGTTTAAATTCTGCAACAAATATTCAAACAAATGTTCTACCCTTTTGTAAAATGTAATACACAGTATTGCATTTAAGCTAAGAATGATCTTCTGGGAGATAGCATTTACATAAATGAAGAAACAGATATGCTTGGGGGCTTAAGCCACTGATATGAACACAGAAAATGAGCAACATTGATGCCATTACTGAGGGGAAAGAATTAAATAAATGTAAATGGTTTTAAAAACACTTTATTTTCAAAGGAGCCAGTTCTGCTCCCATTGACCTCAACAGTAGAAAGATGGGGCTTTAGAGTACTATATATCAACAGCAATTCTAAGCAATTTCTATACAAAAATAGATGTTTATGCAGAGCCTGGGTAATATTTGTCCTCCTCTCACTAATGTAAAACACATAATACTTCAGAAGTTGGTGCTCATGGTAGTTCACTTTGAGTGAGCCCCCAAGAATGGGGCCATTAATCCTAGTGCACCTTTCTTTCTATGGATGTGAGCCCCTAGCTACCCTGGCATCTGAGTACCTCCTGACTATTTACAAACAGAAACAATAGTCAGTAACAATTCCCCCCACTCCCTTCCCACCCTTCTGAGAGAAAGTGCGTCACTAGTGTATAGTGGTTTGTGTGTGAGAGAGAATGTGTGCGTGTTGCATGTGAAAAACGTACCGAGGGAAAGCTAAGTAAAATAAATGAGTTTTGCCCTTCATCCAGAGCACATTGAGATCTGTGGTGGTTGCTCTATCTTGTGGGAGTGTGTTTCCATGATCTGTTTGAATTACAGCTCCTGATCTCCCAAGTCTACCCTCGTTGAGTGAGTTTCATTGTTTTAATGGAATCTAGTGATCGAAGTTGTGGAGGGAGGATCAGTCTCTAAAGTAGCTTAGACCAATGCAGTAGAAAGCTTTGAATATCAGCTCAGAGGCCTTGAGCTGTGAGATTCTCTCGACTTCAAAAGGAATGATTTGGGGTCCTGGAAATCTATGAATCTGTGAATTAGGCTCTCTGTTCAGTGAGGAGCCAGTGCAGATTGCAGAACACTTGGGTGATTTGTTTTTAGCAACCTATGTTGTTAAGCAGATGGTCTGCTGAGTGTTGAAGCACTTGGAGTTTTTTGGTGTGTGTTTGGCTTCATTCCTCTATAGCAGAGGCTTCCTCTAATTTTCCAGGAGCAGGTAAAATACACATGAAAAGCAGGTGTCTCAAAAATACAACTGGTGGGTTGCCGACCATCCGGGATTGTCCCAGAAATGCCAGGAATTAAAGATTAATCTTTAATTAAAGACTAGGGGGCTGTGCTCCTGCTTACTACACTCTCTGACCACTCCCTCTGGGGGTGGTCAACTCCAGCTCTCCCTGGCCCCGGGGAAGGCCAGGCAAAGGCATGGTAGCCCTACCCTGCCCCGGCTCTCTCTCCCTGGCTGCTGGCCCACCCTGAGGCCAGGCCATCCTTGGCTCTCCCCCACCCCAGCTGCCAGGGCATTGGACTGGGCCAAGACTGTGGCTGGTCCGGCTCTCTCCCAGCTGCCGTGAGGGTGCCCAGCTGAGGCTCTCTGCACCCCCTGCTACGAGGGAGGGTCTGAGGCTGCCGTGGCCCCAGCTCTTCCCACCAGCCCCCAGGCCCAAGGCTGCCCTGACTCTTGCTCCCTCTGCCCTTTCCCCAGAATTTGGGGAGAGGGGACGGGCCAAGGTCACACCTGGCTCTCCCCCTAGCCACTGGGAAAAGAGGGGGGCCACTTCCAGGCCTTGCCTGGCCCCACGCTCTCCCTTTGATGCTGGGTGTGTGTGCTTCAAGCCTTCGCAGGCCCCATGCAGCAGCCGAGCACTGGGGAAAGGGGAGGGAGGGAGGAGTCAGGTGGGATGCAGAGTGACTTGCTGATGTCACTCTGTCATCCCCCAGGAAAAGTTTTTTTTTTTTTTAAATATATTAGAGAGATTATGGCTAAGTCTACAGTGACACTTTACAGCATTGTAAATTTCTGGCTCAGGGGTGTGAAAAAACACCCTTCCCTCAGTGCAGCATGTTTCAGCACTGCAAAGCACCAGTGTGAACCAGGCTACAGTGTTGGGAGCTGCACTTGTGCTGTTAGCTACTCCCCTCCTGGGAGCAGTAGATCTAGAGCACTGGAAGAGCTCTCTCCCAGGACTCATGCTGTGGCCACATTTTCAATTTCAAGTGCTGACGCAACTGCTCTTTAAACTTTTAAGTATAGACAAAACCTATGTCATGTGATGAAATTTCCAGGAATACATCCAATCAAAATTGGTAACCCTAGTCTACCTGCACCAGCTGTTATCCATGCTCCTGTCTACCTAATAACCTTTGCCAATAGCATAATGAAAACTGTCAGCATTGTTGTGTGTTCATGTTATGGACTCCATTTTGTGTCATTTTCTAACCTTGTTTCTATTTCTTTAAAATAATTTTATTCTAGCTTATTTCAGGGGCAGCATTTATAGTGATTATCCCAACTAGTCAGTTCTGGATGAACTTGTCCCAGTTGGTGACAGTGCTGTCTTATTGGATTACCACTAATGCAGTACAATGAAATAAACACTCAAAAAGCGCATTAAAATTACCTTTTGGGGCTGACAAACTAAAGAGAGGAAATCTGGCGTTAAGGCTTTACACTCTCTGCTTAACTCACAATTGCATCTAAGGGAATTTCAGTGCGTGGAATCCATAACAATCACTGCAGTTTCACACTCTTGAGTTCGCCTGGAATGGGTTTTGAAGCCTCAGACTTTGAGTTTCAATATAATGTTAGCTAGACCTGTAATGTCCATTTAATGGTTTATTCTATTTAAAATGCTTGCAATATTTTGTTTTCCCATCACATTTAGACTCTGGCACATACCAAGAGGCACTGTGTAAAATGTGTACTTTGTTAGTGATGCCAGGGGAGCTGACAGCCTCCACAGGACCCAGGCAAAGTGGGTGTGGGGCAGTGTTCCCTCTAAGATGTGCAGGCAGCCCAGCTTCACAGGCGATTAATCAGCCCTCCCCCCACCCAGTTAGTTAGCTCCATGCAGGGAGCCCTGAGCCTCTGACTGGACAGGGCTGATGAATCACCTGTGAAGCTGTGCTGCCCCACAGTTTAGAGGGAACAATGGTGTGGGGCCTGGCTGCATACTCCTGGAAGGAGCAGGGCCTCAGGTAGAAAGGGTGGGTGCAGGAGCACACAACCCTCAGTGCTGTCCAGAGCACAGTGAGCCTCCCACAGCCCTTAGTGCTCTGGTGGCAATTTAAAGGGCCCGGGGCTCCAACCATTCCCACAGTACCACAGGGGTGGCTTGAAGCCTGAATCTCTGGACTGCCTAACCAACTGTCAACCGTCGGGCAAAATTTGCTGAGCAAAAAAAAAAAAAAGGCCAAAATGCGGTCACGGCCCCTTTAATTGCTATGTCCCCCAAACAGGTTTCTGTTGGCGGTCCCCCCCCCCCAAGACCTACTTTGCCCACTTTGCCTTTCTCCCTCCTCTCAGCCTCCTGGTCAATGGGACTGATTCACTTAAACTTTGTTGCACAGCTCCGCTTCTGAGCCTTTCTTGAACAAAGCCTGTAAATGGCACTAAATAATGTTGTGGGACTAGAAGACAAACATATTAATCTCACTTGTGACAAATGAATACATTTGAAAGGACATCTCTTGAGATGGAACTTTCCAACAACCACATACTGTGCTCTCTAGCATACTTTGTAGGTTTATTTTTGTTTTCAAATCAGTTACTAATGCTACTTTGTATTGACAGTATTTGGTATCTGATGCTTCCAAAGTGCTCTATGTTAGGTAAGATTGTCTATACTGAGGCTTTATCTACCCTACAAAGTTTTCTCAGCAAAACTTGCCTTTTGATGACAAAACAGCTACAGCATACACACTGCAATGGGACTTTTGTTGGGAAAAATACCCAGTTTTGGTGACAAATCTTCTACCCCTGAGAGAGGCTTTTCTATTTCCCTCCTTTCTTGTCAACAAAGAGCCAGTGTAGATTCTAATACAGGAGGCCCCCGACTTGTGATGCAATTGGTTCTGTGGGAAGCGTCACATGTTGGGGGCATCATAACTTGAACCCTCATTTACGATAGGGGCTGTGCACCATCGTAAATGTGGGCTGAGGACGTAAGTCGGGATTTTCGGCCCCTTCCGCACTTACAAAAATGGGAGTCGGAACTTGGGCAGTTGCAAGTCGGGGGCCTCCTGTATTTGTTTGGTTGACAAAACTGGCTTTCGTCAATATCCCACAATGCCTACCCTGATGGCTCTGCTCAGCTTTGATCTCTGCTGCCTCCCCTTTGAAAGCTCCGGAAAGCATCTGACAGCTGAGTGAGCAGTTCTGTTCAGGTAACAAAGAAAGAACAAATCATTGGAGTGCTCCTGTTCTACCCCACACTAGGAACATAGCAGCAGGCAAACTGCTGCTGCAAGGGGAGAGGGACAGGTTGCTGTGCTGCTTTGACATTTCTTATCAGGGAGAGCTCACGGAGATACTCATGATGCTGCTCCCAGCAGCTGAAGAGGCAGTAAGAGTACTGAGGGGGAATTGCAAGCTGCACAGAGATCAGCTCTGCCTTCCCACATCAGAGCACTGTTGCTCACACTGTTGAGGATGGTGCCCCCAGTATGGACATGATCGGTTGACTGAGGGAGCAAGTGTGATTGCCCTCTGGTGATTTTTATTTTGTTGACTTTTGGGTGTCAACATATGTTCTGTTGACAAAACTTAGTAGTCTAGACATACTACTTTCCGAGTGACCTAAAGCACAAATAAAGTTTAGGTCCAGAATTTCCAAGGTGGTCACTGAT